GGGTTATTGGGGGGGGGGGGGGGGGCGATCAAGGGGTAAAATGTGTTCTAACTGTGTAAGTGTGCTGCGTCTACTCACTGTGTCTTTTTTCTTCTCTCTCTGGGACGGAATGTGTCCAGAGAGAGATTTCATCATTTCGTGTACCTTGTGTAAACACAGGTACAGGAAGATCTGTGATGGGCCAGGGATCGATCATCTGATTTAGGCTGAACATCAGTGGCCTAAATCAGATGATCGATCCCTTGGGGATCGAAGCACAGCACGCGTGTGCGTGCCCTGCTGGCCTGCTATCACCGCTGGAGCGCAAATTGTGTGTGTGTGTGCGCGCCTGTGTAATATATATAATTTTGTGCAACCGTACCACCCTGTAGCAGTATTACTGCTGTAGGTCAGTCAGGAAGAGGTTAACACCTAAACAGAAAAAAACAAGGTTACGGCGGGCTAAAGAAATGTAATCATGGACTGTGGATTACTGGATGAAAGTAATATTCAGTGATGAATCACGAATCAGCATTGAGCAGGGTGATCATGCTGGAACTTTTTGTTTGGTGCCGTTCCATTGAAAGGTTTAAAGACCACTGCCTGAAGAAATCATGCAAATTTCCAATATCAATGATGATTTGGGGTTGTATGTCAGGTAACGGTACAGTGGAGATGAGATGAGATTTTGGGCACTTATTCCATCAATTGAAAGGATGTTTGGTATTATGACATCATTTTTCAGGATAACGCATCTTGCCATAAAGCAGAAGCCGTGAAAACTTTCCTTCAAGAAAGACATAATGTCAATGGCATGGCCTGCAAATAGTACAGACCTCAATCCAATTGAAAATCTATGGTGGAAATGAAAGAAAATGGTCCATGACAAGGTTCCAACCTGCAAAGCGGATCTGACAACTGCAATAAGAGAAAGTTGGAGCCGGATTGATGAAGAATACTGTTTGTCGATAGTCAAATCCATGCCTCAGAGAATTCAAGCTTTTATAAAAGCCAGAGGTGGTGCAACAAAGTACTAGTTGTGTACTGTATTGTTTTTTGTTTTTCTGTTTTTCATGATTCCATAATATTTTCCTCAGTATTGAGTGATTCTATTTTTTTTTTCTCTGCTTGATCTGCAAAAACAGTTGCAACTGAATACAGTTTTATTTATTTTTTTATTAAGTGTTTCTTAAAGCCAGAAGTTTGGAATGTTAAATTACAATAGTTTTGAGGCATGTCTGTGATTAGTTTTTTTTTTCTATACAATTAAACAATTTGAATGAACTTTTTTTTTCAAGAGTGGTGATTCCATACTTTTTGCCAAGGGTTGTACAAAGTTTGGAACCATAATAAGGAAAACCAGTTAATGGGGTTACAATTGACACATAAACCCTTCAAGATGCACCTAGAGCTAATAGAATGCTTTTGTGCAAATTGAACTGTTAACTTGAACTCTGATTTGGATCACGTTTATGAAAAATATTTTCTGTGCCCTGAATTTAGACGTATACGTTGTTCTGTGGATTTATGCCTGTCACAATGCTGCCTATGTTATAAAAGCTTGATATTAAACTACCCTGCTGTGATAACTGCTTCCAATCACAGCAAAAACATTTTCTTTTTCCCCCCCAACACAAATTGTTTTTGCTTAATGCTATGAAAGTAACGTTTTGCATCTCATGTTTACTAAACAGTCTGCTATCATCTGTATGTGTGATCTGCACCTGACACTGCACAGAGTGATGTCTCTGACATACGTGTCTGTACTTTAATGTTAGAACTAAGATGTGAAATAAATAGCAATAGCAAGAAACCAAATGATGGTAAGGCCTGGGAATATGAATTAATGATTCTGACAGATAGGTGGGTGGCTTATAAAAGTAAACCTTCTGTTTACATACAGTTGAAGTAGCTGTTTTCAAAGCTGAACTAATATTCATAAGAATACAATCCAGAAGGTTGCTGGGGATAAAAACTGTGTTACTAGTTCCTTTGTAAATGGATCGGTCACCTTCTAATGATCATTGTGCAATACATAGCCAGGGAACAGGAGGACAGGCTAGCAGCAAGCAAGGACAGCCTTTGTATCTCTCTCGTAACATGTTCAATATGAATTAAAAACTATTGTCTTTTAAAATGTTTTAGTGCGTCTATCTGCATGTGAAGATGATTCATTTACATGGGATACTAAATGTAATGCCATGTTGTTTGAGGACTCGTTCGCACTGTGTTCAGTGACTGGTGGTGGTCTGCACCAGATGAATACCAGTCACCACAAGGGCAAATAGAAAATAATTGTTTTCTATATTCCCCTTGCACACCATGATACTGGCGTGATGCACAGTATAGAAAAATGCAGAAAGGCTGCTTCTTTCCATAGCTTACTGCAGTGGTCTCGAAACTGCAGCCCGGGGGCTTGATGTGGCCTTTTGCTTACCTTTATCCAGCCCTTGGGGCACTAATTTTCCCACTAATACTGAACACTATTCTCTGCGCACTGACACCGACAATGTGGCATAATTTCTTCCATCAAAATCACAATGGGGTGCTATTCCTCCCCAGAATACCAAAGATTGGGGCATGATTTACTCCCACAGAAAAAAATTATATTCCTGCTGGCCACAGTCTGTCTCCCTGAAGTCTGAAAAACAGTAAACTGGCCCTACGTTTAGAAAGTTTGGAAACCCCTGGCTTATTGCATGGCAACGAACCAAGCTGCTGCTGGGAGATATGTATTAAGTGTCATTATATTACAGTTCATATAAAGTAAAGAAAAAGGAAACCATGCCGTATCTCACACAAGTACTGACCTGCTCAGTAAAACACTACTTTTTACTATGCGGATAGTGTGAACTAGCCTGGAAACAAAAAGACTAATGCCAGTATTTGACACATTGGGGTTGAATTTCTAAAGGAGTAGATTAAAATGTTTTTAAACCCCTCTGTATGAAAAAACGTATACAGCAGCATAAATGTTTCCATCACTTGCTGTGTTTTTCATTTGTAGTCCTGTCAATCTTTATGATCAGTCTTTCTATAGTATCAGTATCTCTCCTACCCTTCTGCACCCACTCTTGGCCACACTATATCCCGACACACTGGCAGCTCCTAAGCCTTGCATTCAAAGCGACAACCGTGCTCCTCCCCCAATGACTTTGGTTTGAGTGGCTGCTGAGATGGTACTAAATGGTGACAATATGAAGTGTACAAAGTGCATTCCCTGGCTGGATGTCAGCTGCACAGAGCAAGCTGGGGGCTGGTGGCACTAAACACACAGGTTGGCTTTCTGGTCTTTTTGGAAAGCAAATATTTCACATCCTAAGCTCATTTGGCCAACATAAATGTGAAAAAATAGAAACAAACGAAGCCTTAGTACTACTTTAAGCTCACTTTGCAAAATTTACTTTTCTCTTAGCTTCATCTAATGCATTAAACTAAGTGAAATTTCACTTTACACAGAAAAATCAGTCATTTGAAAAAAAAAAATATATATATATATTTTTTTTGCTCGCACATGATTGCAAGTTTGAAGTCAGCACAGTTTCACAAACGGTAGGGAAAATTCCCTTTTGAAAAAACACAACACTATTCCTTTAGTAAATCAACTCCACAGTCTTGTTTATGTTAATTAAATAGGACTATAAAGATATATTTGTATTACACTCCAGGGATCCATTTATTATCATTGTTATCTGGAGACTAGGATTTGTTTCTGACTATACCATTTAGAACTCCTTCTCATCATGTCTTTTGCCTAGAAACTTGATGTTCTGAAGATATAAAAGTCACTGCCATTATTAAATTACTGGTCTATAAGACTTTACGAACTAGTAACTAGTACATATAAAGTGTTTTGCCTAATTAGCAGTGCTATACACTTTCAGGAAGCCGTGAGAGGTAGGTCTCTGAACAGCCATAGTCTTCAACATGCTGGGCTCAACCTGTTTAATCGGTTACAGAAACACACGTAAAAGGGAGGGAACCATGGGTTGAGTGATGACATGAGAGCTGCTGGTGAGGAAAACAGAGATTAGAGAAATCTAAAAAAATAAATAAATTCTATATTAATCCTTCAAAATATCCCTAAACTGTGCAGAATCATAGTTTACGTTTAAAGTGACACTACATTCTGGTTAAAACAATATATTCAATCCTACTGTTTATTCTTAACTCAAAAAATTACGCAAAAGTATTATATTGCAGCTTACCAATTCTTAGATGTGATGGCTGGATTAGTTTTATTTTTTTTCCAGTCTTTCCTTCTCTTATTTTTACCTGGAGATCCTTCTGTTGTTTATCAAACCAATAAGCTGTCCTACAGATGTAGCAGTTAGAGGATTGGGACAAACCATGTAACACTAAATGGGTTGCCTACAAAGGTCAGGTTTTATTTATGTAAAACTTTTATCCAAAAAGAAAAACAAAACTTTACTGCACCTGTTTATAAAGTGTTAGCTGGATTTTCTCCATGGGGAGGATGACATATATACAGGTGAAATTCGAACAATTAGAATATCATGCAATAGTTCATTTATTTCAGTAATGAAACTGAAAAGGTGAAACTAATATATGAGATAGACTCATTGCATGCAAAGCAAGATAGTTCAAGCCGTGATTTGTCATAATTGTGATGATTATGGCTTACAGCTCATGAAAACCCCAAATCCACAATCTCAGAAAATTAGAATATTACATGCAATCAATAAAACAAGGATTGTACATAGAACAATATCGGACCTCTGAAAAGTATAAGCATGCATATGTACTCAGTACTTGGTTTGGGCCCCTTTTGCAGCAATTACTGCCTCAATGCGGCGTGGCATGGAAGCTTTCAACCTGTGGCACTGCTGAGGTGTTATGGAAGACCAGGATGCTTCAGTAGCGGCCTTCAGCTCTTCTGCATTGTTCGGTCTCATGTCTCTCATCTTTCTCTTGGCAATGCCCCATAGCCCCCCCCCAAAGGTCTGCACTCTCTTGTCATCTGTACTATGTCGGCAGTCTCTGGTCATCTCCTGACTATGTCAGCAGTCTCTGGTCATCTCCTGTACTATGTCGGCAGTCTCTGGTCATCTCCTGTACTGTATCCGCAGTCTCTGGTCATCTCCTGTACTATGTCCGCAGTCTCTGGTCATTTCCTGTACTATGTCCGCAGTCTCTGGTCATCTCCTGTACTGTGTCAGCAGTCTCTGGTCATCTGCTGTACCGTGTCCTCAGTCTCTGGTCATCTCCTGTGCCGTGTCCTCAGTCTCTGGTCATCTCCTGTGCCGTGTCCTCAGTCTCTGGTCATCTTCTGTGCCGTGTCCTCAGTCTCTGGTCATCTCCTGTACCGTGTTCGCAGTCTCTGGTCATCTCCTGTACCGTGTTCGCAGTCTCTGGTCATCTCCTGTACCGTGTCCGCAGTCTCTGGTCATCTCCTGTACCGTGTTCGCAGTCGTCTCTGGCCATCTCCTGTACCGTGTCCGCAGTCTCTGGTCATCTCCTGTACCGTGTTCGCAGTCTCTGGTCATCTCCTGTACCGTGTAAGGCAGTCTCTTATGGTCAGGTGCGTCTTATGGAGCGAAAAATACGGTATATACACACACAAATAAAAATTGCTTAATGTAAGGAAACGACCTTTGCGGTAATAACTAAAATTTCGGTTAATGTAAGGAAACGACCTTTGCGGTAATAACTAAAAAATTTCTTTTAAGGGAACTAGTACCAGCCTCCGTAGATTAAGAAGGAGAAATGATTGATACTTGAGGTAAGTTTTCAGGTGGATTAAATGTATTCAATAGATTTGGCTGTCCATAATACAAGTGAAAAAGCTCCCGCTGGGACTGCTGTTTCCCGCAGAGCTCCGGAAATTTGAAATCTTTACCAAGAAAGCATAAGAAGAGATTATATTTAAAGACAACACCCTCTAGTCTTGCTTTCTTAAAACAAAAGTGGAGCGCGTGTCGAGGGTGTTATAATGAGAGGTCGAACAGAGTTTACTTTTTTGTTGTACATCTACTTTCATCTCATTGCTCCAGATTGTCTGTTCTTTGTACTGTCAGCTGACAGCCTCAGATATCTTGCAGGTTATCTTCTTATTGGCCTTTTAAAACATTTACATTTATTATTTTTTTTTTTGTTTGCTCTGCTCTGCTAATTTTCAATTAACATGCACATTCTTGTTTCAAGCACCGCAGATCATACCTTGAGCCTCTGCATGTTAATTTCCAAAGTGCGCTGCTTCTGTTCTTGCTTTATGGGGTATCCTCCAGAGTTGGCAATTGTGTCGTTTTTGCAGCAGCCAGTATATTTGTCTGCAGAGTTTCAAGTATATGTAAACCAAACAACAAAAGGCATTGTTCACACCATGTGCAGTGTGGGAACGTGTGCAAAATCATGTGTATTTCTGCACTGCACAAAATGCTCTGTATTTTGTGGGTGCCATTATTTCTTAAGGTCAATACCATGTGGTTTGATGTGGCTCGATTTTAGAAAACTGTGCCTGTACCTTTTTGTACTAGCATCACGCCGCCGCTTTCTGTCATGGATGCCTGTTTATGCCTCTTTCCACCTGTGGTTCTCAGTACTACAGGGGTGATGTAATGCTTCAGTCACCACTACCAGTGGTCTTTACTGTTGGCCAAACATGAGAAATGAATAAAGGACATCCCCATAGATAAAAGAAAATTGTGCATGTAATATGTTTTGTTTTTCAGCCTGCAAACCATCGCAATTGCTCTGCACAGGCTCCTGCAAATTATTAACCCAGTCCCAGGTCTGTATAAAGGTACCTACCTACCATTATGGACATGGAGATAGTCAACAATGAAGTATGGTGATGTCACTGCACTTGTGCTCCATTATCTGCATGTCCTTCTGCTGCAGTGGCAGATGGACTTGTAGATTTTCTATTAACTGATTATGGTAAATGGATCTGTGAATGCAAGGAGGAGCTGCTCACTGACCACCAATGTAAGGAACATTGTTCCCACTCATTGCCAATGTAAGGGACATTCTTCCTACTGACCATCATTGCAAGGAGTATTTCTTCTATTGAGCACAAATGTCAGGAACATTCTTCCCACTGATCACCAGTGTAAGGAGCAGTTTTCTCACTGACTACCAATGTAAGGGGCATTCTTCCCACTAACCACGAATATAAGGATCTTCTTTCCCCACTGATCACCAATGTAAGGAGCATTCCTCCCACTGACCATTAAAGTGTTGCTAAACTCACAACAGGAAAATCAGTCTGTATATGCAGTAAAGCATGCTTGTTATGCTCACTGTAGAACCTAAGTAGTTAATCCTCCGCATTGTGTAAAAATGCTACTTGATTCTGTCTTCTCTGATGCCCCCCTTCTTCCACAGTCCCCAATCCATCTGCTGATAGTACAGAGCCCTGGAAGGCACATGCCCAGTTTGGTGTGTATTGTTAGAGATTTTTTTTTTTTGGGAAAGGGGGTATGTGATCAACACAGGGCCAATTAGCACTGTTCAGACAGGTAGTCAGGGATCATGCAGCCTCATAGGACAGTCAGAGGAGACTGAAAACTCCTCCTACAAGCTTTAACCAGTGCTCTGCCGAACACTGATAGAAGTTACATGGCTGCTATATACTGCTAATGAGAAAAGGTGTTTAGCAGTTTATATTTACTAAACAAATTGCATTTCCATGTTATGTGTACTTTTGGAGACCAGATATAGTGAATGCAGCAGGGTCATGGGTTTAGTAAAACACGTTAATGTAAGAAACATTCTTCACACTGACCATTAATGGTCACCAGTGTAAGGCGCATTCTTCCCACTGATCACCACTGTAAGGCGCATTCATTCTTCCCACTGATCACCAGTGTAAGGAGCATTCTTCCCACTGATCACCACTGTAAGGAGCATTCTTCCCACTGATCACCACTGTAAGGAGCATTCTTCTTTCTGATTACCAATGTAAGGGGCATTCTTCCCACTAACCACCAATGTAAATGACAATTTTCCCACTTACCACCAATATAAGGCGCATTCTGCCCACTGACCACCAATGTAAGGGGAATTCTTCCCACTAATCCCCATTGTAAGGGGAATTCTTCTCGCCTCATGCTTCACACTGATTACTAGTGTAAGGCGCTTTCTTCCTTCCATCACCAATGTGAAGAGCATCTTTGCCATTGACCCCATTGATAGTGTGGACTATGAGCTGTACATGCAGAAATTATTCCCTGAGACCTGAGTCATTTTACCCGTTCACACCAGAATGCTGTATAGGAAACCCAAGTACCATGCACGGTTCCCACACTGCATTCCAAACACACTAAGTATGTGATCTGCTGCGGGTGTCAGTATATTCTTAACACCCGAAATGCAGATCACAAAAGCTGCTGCCTGCACCGGATTGCACAGTACCCCTGTATCATGCGATCTGGTTACAGTGCATTTTAAAAAGTATTCTGTGCACTACTTTTGCTGTGATCCAGTGCAAATTCAGCCCATTCAAATGAATGCGCTGAAAATCTCATCACATTGAATCGTACATGAATGCTGAGCGCATTCCTGTGTGATCCTGCACTCAAGGAATTCTTCATTAAAAATGGTTGAGAGAAGCTGATTTAGAGCCTCAAATCCCAAGATGGTTTGGTTTACTTTTGTGGCTGTGTACAGGCCTGGATTTTGGTCACAAGTCTTTGCTTAGTAACATATACTGTGTACTCTGCCAGCATTTTGTTGCCTTGTCCCAAGTTTTTAAAATGCATTGCCGCCATCAATTTTAAAAGTACCTTATTGTTTTTCTTAAAATGGAACATTTTCACAGTTTAAACTTTTGGTATGTTTTCTATTTTCTGTTGTGAATAATATATGGGTTTATGAGATTTTCCAATCATTGCATTCTGTATTTGTTGATTTTTCACAGTATTCCAACTTTTTTGGAATTGGGGTTGTAGTTTACTAAAGTTAATAACGTGATTAAAAAAATCTGGAAAGATCATTGTTGTTTTTTGGGAGCTACATTTTAGGAATGTACTGCACTTCAGGCATATGAATGATAATGCAGTTTTGTACAGAAACCCTGTTATGGGAATATTATTGTGAATATTAAACTCAGAAAGTTTCAATTCAGGCAGCATCCAGTCATTATAACTAGCTCAGGGATTAATAGTTTTGCAATCAAGAGCTGAAATTCTAAGGTGAAAGGACTGTGCCTGTTTAGAGTTTTATTGCTGATTTTACCCAGCTGTGTCCAGTTGTAAACTAAAGAAAAAAAAATTGAATGCAATTTGGAAATGTTGCTGCTGCATGCCCTCTTACCTTGCTAGGTATAGACTCATGAGCAGTCAAGTAAACACCTTTCTAGGGTAGCGTGATTAAATCTGATCTTTTTTCCTTTATTTTTTTTAAGGTTAAAATCTGAACTTAAGGCAAATATCTAAGGTTGCAGTTGAAATAAGTATATGTGAACTGTTTTATCTGCTAACAAAATGATTTCCTGTGCAACCAATTGTGTAATAAAGGCATCCCTGCCAATAGCTCAGCTGGTTCTCTGACTTTTCTGTGGACATCACTGCAGCTGAGCAATACATTCTGGTGCAGGACCCATCCAGTCCCCAGTCCTCTCATTTTTGTCAGGAAGATGTCTTTGTGAGATGGACAGAAGTGTGCAATGTACCACTGCTGGGTTGGCCCTTCTCTCACAACGTTGATAGGGATATAATAGAAAGCTGATATCAAGAGAGATTCAGGTACTTGTACTAGCTATGTATAAAATACATTTAATTATTTTCTGATTATTACATTACTGACGTATTATTTTTTGTAATATCTGCTTGGAATAAAGCTGTAAATGGTTTGTTCTTTGGCATTTCTATGTCCATTTGGGGCTCTGTTACTTTCTAGAGCCATTTAAACTGATCTCTACCCTGGCTAACCTATAGCATTTCATTGATATTGCCCTTGTATCCCTCTGAGATTTAGCTAATGCCTGTTTATATTGCTTGGGTGCTGAAGAGATTGTACATCAAGATTCAGTACAGGCCGGCATAATAACTTGTTTCTTGAAACATAATTGCAAAGCTCTGTAAACTGGTTGTGCTGAATTTTAATGGAGTAGAGTAGCAGAGAATGTGGCTCTTGCTTTATTAGTGCAGTGTCCTCTGTCTTGTCAGTAGCTCCATATCAGTGGAACATATCAGGTGATGAAATCGGGTTCAGTCCATAAACAAGACTTTATTACTCTAAAGATAACCCACCAGTATATTTATTATCAAGGAAGGATGCGAGGGTGTTGTATAAAGTGCACTAACCCCTAACCCTGAACAGGATGATAGGATGTAAAATACCAAAAGGCTGTATTTTCTTGTATTTAAATGCTTGTCATGTATTAAATGCTTATTGGTAGAAAAAAAATTGCATACATATACATATTTTCACACAAGATTCACTCAGCTTTCACCCTTTTCACATATTTTCTAATTAAATCCAGTTATGTGTTTTCTCACATTTCTCCTAAATTTCCTTGTTACACAAACAGGTCCTCCACCTGAAAAATAAAGATCTGTAAGATTTTGAAGTTCCAGAACAACAATTGACCTTCTTTTGGTTTGTAGGTAATTTTGCGAGTCTGCATTATTAAGTTATCACGGTGTACGGACTTCTCAAACTGAAGTATGTTG